CAAGCCCTCTCTCCGTCTTCCCAGTTGGGTTGGGAGCAGGTTGCAGTGACCACAGTGTGCTCATTTTTCCTCTTGCCCTCTCTTCCTTCCCATCACCCCCACTTCATGCCCACCTTCTTCCACTGCCCCCCAAGAAATCTGTTCTGATTGCTTGACTTGGTTACCCCTCCATACTGGTGGCTCTGCGTGGTTGCTCCCTCATCCCTGCCCAGGCATAGAGATCTGGTCTCCACCTTTGATGTCCACTCCTCACATCCCCCTGTCCTGCCTCCCTGTCTCCCCCAGGTCTCCTCGAACTCCACCAGCAGAGTATTCACAACCCTGGTCTTGTGTGATAAGCCTAAGTCCGAGGACCCACAGGACAGGGGGCCAGCCACTCCAGATGTACCCCACTCAGATGACCTCGTGGGATTCAAGCTGTTCCTGCCTGAAGGTGAGAGTGAGGCATGAAGGTGAGAGTGAGGCATGAAGGTGAAATTGAGGCAGGTGTGTGGTTTCCTGGCAGCAGTATAAGCAGGATGTCTTTGTCCACCTTGAGGTCTGACCTGCTCTCCCCTTTTCACAGGGCCCTGTGACCACACCATGGCCAAGCTCCAACCAGGAGACATGGCTGCCATCACCACCAAGGTGCTCCGGGTGAATGGGGAGAAGATCTTGGAGGACTTGAGCAAGAGGCAGCAACTGAAATTCAAGTCAGAGATGCTGGGGAAGCCGTTTTCCTGGGGAGGGTTGTGTAGTATGGGGTGTGGGGGTGTGTGGTTGGGAAGCCTCTCCCAGCCTGGGGGGACCATGAAATGGGATGGTGTGGTGAGGGGGCTCACCCAGCCTGAGAAGGACCATAAAGAGGGGGATGTGGTGAGGGGGCTCTCCCATCCTGAGGGGGACCATGAAGTGGGGATGTGTGGTGAGGGGGCTCCCTAGTCTGAGGGGTGCTCCTATGGGAGGGAAGCCTCTTACCCCAGATCTCAAGACCCACTCCCTCTTCAGGAGGGATCCTCCCTCAGCGGCTGTGACCACTGTTGTCCAGGAACTGCTGCGCCTGGCTCAGGCCTACCCAGCAGGACCCCCCACCCTTGATCCTGTCAATGACCTGCAGCTCAAGGATGTGTCAGTGGTAGAGGGTGGGATCCGGGCTCGGAAGCTGGAGGAGCTGATCCGGGGGGCTCAGTGTGTGCACAGCCCACGTTTTCCTGCCCAGGTAGGGCCCTGGATGCTAACTCTCAAGCTGGGAGGGGGGCTTTGCCTCTTTGGTCCCCGATAGACTGGCTGCCCCCATCTCAGTCCTTGTCCTCAGTGCACCCTACTGCGGGGTGAGGAGGAGGCTGATGGGCTCCTGCCTGTGGCTCTCTGCAGTACCTGAAGCTGCAGGAGCGAATGAAGATACAGGAGGAGATGGAGCAGCTGCGCTTCCTGCTGTCAGATCAGTCGCTGCTGCTGCTCCCCGAGTACCACCAGCGAGTAGAGGTGCGGGGGCAGGGCTGGGGGCTGGTGTGGGAGAGGACAGCAGGCTCCCCAACACCTCCTCTCTATCTTCCAGGTACTCCGAACGCTAGGTTACGTGGATGAGGCAGGCACTGTGAAGCTGGCAGGGCGGGTGGCTTGTGCCATGAGCAGCCATGAGCTGCTCCTCACTGAGCTTATGTTTGACAATGCGCTGAGTGCCCTGCGGCCTGAGGAGATCGCAGCCCTGCTCTCTGGCCTGGTCTGCCAAAGCCCTGGGGACCCTGGGGATCAGCTCCCAAGCACCCTCAGGCAGGTAGGGACACCTCCCTTCTCAGTCTGTGGCATTCCCAACCCCTACCCCCAGGAATTCCCCAGGTGACCCCTCCAGCCTGTAAGAGCCCCTAAGAGTGGGAATGGCTTCTTCCTTGATCTGGGCCTCCCTGCCAGGAGCAGGTAAGCAGGCCTTAACTCCTCCTTCCCCCTCTGCAGGGAGTGGAACGTGTCCGGGCTGTGGCCAAGCGGATCGGTGAGGTCCAGGTGGCCTGTGGCCTGAACCAGACAGTGGAGGAATTCGTGGGGGAGCTGAATTTTGGGCTGGTCGAGGTTGTATACGAGTGGGCCCGGGGCATGGTGAGTACCTGGGGTCTAGGGCTGTGTGGAAGGCTGGCTGGGAAGAGGCTGCCCAGGCCTAGCATGTTCAGTCCTCACCCTGCTCTCCCCATAGCCCTTCTCTGAGTTGGCAGGGCTCTCAGGGACTCCTGAAGGCCTGGTAGTCCGCTGCATCCAGCGCCTGGCTGAGATGTGTCGCTCGCTGCGGGGAGCAGCCCGCCTGGTAGGGGAGCCTGTGCTGGGAGCCAAGATGGAGACAGCAGCTACCTTGCTGCAACGGGACATTGTCTTTGCAGCCAGCCTCTACACCCAGTGAATGATCCCCATGTAAAAATGGAATAATAAAACAGCAAATCACCATGTGTGCTTGAGGTGCTCGGTAGGGATGACTTAGCTGAGAAGACATAGCAGGGAGATCCACTTAGAAATGTGCTTTTATTATCTGTGTACCCAGGGATATGACCAGCCCCTGTAAAGCATCAGTCCTTGGGAGAGGGTGTCTTAGGGGGTGATGGGAGCTGCTCCTGGGTCATGGCTTCCACATACCACCTGGGTAGGAAGGCATGGGGTGCATCTCGATGTACAGACACAGTGACTGGGCCGCCAGGTTCCCAGGAGAAGAGGTGGACAAGCCTGGGGGGCAGATAAGAGGTATGGGTTGAGGGCTGGAGGCTGAGCTCCTGGGATCCCGAGGGGAGGGACAGAGCTGAATGCCTCACCTGGGGTCATCCTGGACAACTGTGCTCTGGGCAAAGCTAAGGAAGGCGGCACAGAAGTTCATGCACACAGAGGGATTCCAGCCACCACGGTCGTTCTGGAGTGGGCAGAGGAGGAGGCAGAAGACTGGCAGTGAGGGTGAGAGCGGGAGAGGGGAAGGCAGACTGCAACCCCAGACTTGGGCCTGTGGTTTTGGAGCAGGGGTAGGTGGGAGATACAGGTGGGGGCTGTGACACCCTTGCTTTACCCTGATGTATTCAAACATCTCCATGGTAGGAAAGATCTTGAGGGAACAGACAAAACCTTCTGGGTTACGGAAGCCGGCAACAACCTTTGGGACCCCTGGGAGGAACGACTGAGCCCACCATTTCAGGAGTTTGTGTCTGTCGGGAAAGGCAAGGGGTCAGTTGGCCCGCTCCTCCACCCTCCATTCTGTCCTCATCTTCAGGCTTCATCCTCCCCCAAGTGCCTTTCCCAATTGTCAATTCTAGGCTCTCTCCCTACCCACCCCTATCCTGAACCTGTAGAAGCTCCTCCATTGGCTGGGGCTGTGCATCTCCTTGGAGGTCTTGAGCTCCACATAGCAGGTGGGGGGCTGTGTGGATGGGGCCTGGGGGTCTGTGCAGTCTACCTCCCCTGAGAAGAGCAGACGGTGGTTTCCCAGGCGGCTGCGTAGCACAGAGCAGAAGGCCACGTTGGTGTTAACCTCCCCAGAGGGGTCTGGGGAGCCTCCGGGTTTGTCTGCATAAGGAGAGAAGCAGCAGCAGGGGAGGGGGCTCTTAAACTCTGGGGAAGTGGAAAGGTGCTACAGAGAAGGGGCAACTCTCACCTGCACACATGTACTGCTCAAACTTGTACCCCATGTACATAAGCTCCCGGAGGAGAGGTGGCCGAGCAAGCCTCTGAGCCCGGGCCGCCGGAGTCTCCACCTCACTCAGGTACAGTGTTCCCTGGAACCGGGAGGCTGCCAGCTGCCAGCCCTCCTGCCGCTCATACGGTGTCGTCAGCAATTTTGTCAGGTGCCCCCGCCATGTCACTGTGGCCCCTGCCAGCCATCCTGGACCCCTGAGAAGGAGGAATTAGAGGCTGAAGGTCTGATAAAAGAATTAGCTCAGATGGCTCCCCTAAAGAGTCCTTCTAAGGACTGATTCTCACTATAACACAGGCTCTTCTTTTTAGAGAGTACGTGCACGTCTCTAGATCTACTTGTGTGCTATGCTTTGCTCACCCCTCCAGCTCGCCTCGGTGTTCCAGGAGCCAGCGTAGTAGGTGGTCCAGCCCCTCTCGGACCTCCTCGTCCCGGGGCTGGTATCGATCGGGGTATCCATCTCTGAGGTCAAAGTCAGGGCCTGGACCATTGGTGGGGGGTGGGCTGTAGTAGCGCAGGGCTCGGGCATCTCCATGGTACTGGCGTTGAGCATCCAGGGAGAAGCAGCCCAGTTCGGAAGGACGCCGGTAGAAGGGAAAGGGCCCAGAGTAGAGAGCTGGGTCTGTGGGGAGTGAAGGTGCTGGACGGGGAAGTTTGTTCCAAGGCTCAGTTACCTCTATCTTCCCAGACCCTCTCTTGGTCCCTCTGGACTCCATGAAGTCCTGAGAAGAGGGAAAAGTTTCCATTTCACAGAGGTGGCCTGGACAAAGGAGACTCTGGATCAAGTCTAGGCGAGCCTCCTGATCGCCAGGCTCTGGCCTTAAAACAGGCAGGTCCCAGTCCCTCAAGCACAACCAGGCCAAGCGCTCATCCTACCTCTTCCTTTGCCCTCCCACTTCCCCCCGACCCTCCAAACGCAGTGAGCCTAGTTAGGAAGTTTGGGCTCAGACCAAGGAACTGGTTACCTCAAAGACACCCAACCTCTACTTCCACCTCCGCAGGGCTATGACGTCAGGGAAGACACGTCAGAAGTCGAAGAGGGATGCAAAGGTGGTTTTTCTGCTTCCGATGACGAAATCATTCAGCGACAGTGGCGGGCAAACCCCTTAGGGGCTGGAGGGGAAGGGGAATGAGATTTACATCAGGAGGGATATCCAAACGTGGCCACCAGCTTCCCTGAGCAGGGCGCAAGCGTCCAGGACGGGAGTACTCTTGGAGGGAGCCAATCAGCGGCAGGCGTGGGGCCTCCGCTCAGCGGAGGTGGTGCCGGTATCACGTTAGCATGGCCCCGCCCACCGAGAGCCTGAGATTTGACAAGTCGACGTCTCTTTCGTCATCACGTCGCGGTACTTACGACTTAGGGTCACCTGGTCTCCAAGGAGAGACGCCCAGGGAGATCATACGTCACTGCTCTGCGCCGGAAAACCCTATCTTCAAGTTCTTTTACATCAATCTCTAACCCGATACCATAAAGTCTCGGGATATGAGCCGGAAGAGGCATTGCCTGGTCCCTGAGACCTTTGGACTGAAGAGGCGGCGGGAGCGAGGGCCTGTAGAAGCGGATCCTCTGAGGGGCGAGTCAGGTAACCATGGCAGCCGGGGCGGGGCTAAAGACCCCGGCTGGGAGGGGCCTCGCCTCGAGTAACCGCGTATATTGGGAGAACGGCGCCCCCTTAGTTGTTCCCTGCCCCAGTTCCGCCCCAGTGACTGGGTCTCTCCGCTCAGGGTCGGCGCGCGCGGCACTTGCGGAGCTAGTGCAGCTGTTCCCGCGCGGCCTGTTCGAGGATGCGCTGCCGCCCATCGCGCTGAGGAGCCAGGTGTACAGCCTCGTGCCCGACCGGACGGTGGCCGACCGGCAGCTGGTGAGGGGCGTCCGAGCGACCTCTGAAGGCCCCTTCCCTGCCTCGCAGGCACTCCCGAAGTCCTCAGACACTCAGTCCGTCCGCCAGCCATTCAGCAATCATTAGGCCTTTCTGGGGCAGGCATCGTGGCAGGCACTGCAGTGCTACAGAGAATGCTACAGACCTTGTTAAAAGACTCCCGGGCAGGGCCGGCCCGTGGCTCACTCGGGAGAGTGTGGTGCTAATAACACCAAGGCCCCGCGTTCGGATCCCATATAGGGATGGCCGGTTTGCTCACTGGCTGAGCGTGGTGCTGACAACACCAAGCCAAGGGTTAAGATCCCCTTATCGGTCATCTTTTTTTTTTTTCTTTTTTTTTTTTTCCTTTTTTGTCTTTTTTCGTGACCGGTAACAGGATCGCAACCCTCGGTGTCGCGCCTGTACCGCGACTGGCAACGGGATCGCAACCCTCGGTGTCGCACCCGCACCGCGCTCAACCAGTGAGCGGACCGGTCTCTATATGGGATCCGAACCCTTGGCGGGAGCGCCGCTGCGCTCCCAAGCGCCGCACCGGGCTGTCCCCCCTTATCGGTCATCTTTAAAAAAAAAAAAAAAAAAGTGGAAAAGTGAGACTTCGGGAGAAACTGAGTCATGTAGCCTGGTTCGAGCATACAGCGCTAGGAATGCAGGCATACGTCAGATCACTACAGGCCTTGTGCATCAGTGGTGTTTCCTTATTACACTGTAGGCGATGAGCTGGTAGAGAATGTTAAACAGGAGAGGGAATAGTCTATTGGGTGTAGTGGAGATAGTAGATGAGTCAGGGAGATCGGTTAGGAAGATATTGCAGCTGAGAAGTGGTGAAGGCCTAAATTAGGGTAGTGTAGTAGGGAGGGAGAAGATGGGTGAGGAATGTGGAGAGTGAGGAGGAGGGAGGAGTCAGATGACAGACTGACTGGGTGGCTGGTGGAGTGAACAGAGTAGGAGCACATTGAGTTGTTGGGGGCAGATGATGTGTTTAATTTTGTACGTGTTGAGTTGATGGTGCCTGTGGGACATGCAATGTAGTAGACAGTTGTATATAAGGGTTGGAGAGAATTCTGGGCCAGTGGTATATAATTAGAAGTCATGGGGATGTGGATGTGGGTGAAATCCAGTAGGAAGAGTGAATAGAGAAGTGATTTTTAACCTTTTTACAAACTTTAGATGGAGATTAAAGCTGTGGCTATCTCCAGAAAAATGCACATATGCCACAAGGTATATTGGGGGGAAGGAGGAGGTTTTACAGATCATCTGAAGTCCGAGTTTAAGGATCCCAGGTTTATAGTGAAAGATAACAGGGCCAAATCCATAGTGCTGGAAGACACCAATATTTAAGGCAGTGTTACTCAATGTATGGCCTGAGTTCTACCAGTGTCAGAATTACCTGGGCTGCTTAGACTAACCCAAGGTTAATGAATGAAGATCTCTTGGGGTGGGACGTGGGAATCTCCATTTTTGAACTACTTCCTGAAGTGTTTCTTAATGTGCCTTAAAATTTGAGATCCACAGATGTAAGGGGAAAGCAGAAGAAGAGGAGTCTGTGAAAGAGGCTGAGAAGGAATTGCCTGAGTTAAGAGGGACCCAGGAAGAGGCCTATTGTGAAAGTAAAGAGATTTTCAAGATTAGGGTAGTTGGCAGTGTTAGAACCTGTGGCGATCTGTCAAGAAAAGAGGGAAGAAAAGGAAGATGGAGACTAGCTTGTCTCACATGAGGAAGCAAGTCAGACGGAACCACTTCTTAAAGAATATTTGTTGTTTTTAATGTATTGGGGTTAGCTTATATTTTAAAAAAGCATTAAAAATTGCACAAAAGAAGATATAAACATGCACGCACAATTCAAAGAATGGTTATAAAGCAAATACCCATTTAGCCACCAACTAGGTCAAACTATAGAACATGGCTAACATCCCACGTATATCCCTCTCTGATTAAAATGCCTTATGTCCCTGGGAGGTGACAATTGTCCCAGCTGTTATGACAATTGTTCCTTTGGTTTTTTAAAAAACATAATCAATTTTATTTTCCTTAAACCACAAAATAGAGTCTTCGGTTGTACAGACATCACTGTGTTCCCTTGGTTTTCTTTGTACCACCTATGTCTATATCCATAAACAACATAGCTTAGTTTTACCCATTTTTCAGTTAAATATAAATGAAATCATACTGTATGTCTTACAGTCTGTTTGTGCTGCTATGACAAAATGCCTGAGACTGGGCAATCTGTAAACAACAGAATTTATTTCTTACCATTTTAGCGGTTGGGAAGCCCAAGATCAAGGCACCAGCAGATTCAGTGTGGTGAGAGCTGGCTTTCTCTGCTTCCAGGATGGTGCCTTGTTGCTGTGTCCTCACATGCCAAAAGAGATCGAAGGGTCAGGCAGTTCTCTGAAGGCTGTTTTATAAGGGAATTAATCCCATTCGTGAGGGTGAAGCCCTCATGGCCTAATCACCTCTCAGAGGTCCCACGTCTTAAAACCATCACCTTGGGGTTTAAGTTCTAGCATATGCATTTTGGAAACACATAACTTGTTTGATTTCACAGGTTCACAGCTGGAGAGCAATTTGTATCAGAATGAAATACATCTTTGAGTCTCACCCATCTCTGATTTAGATGAGACTTAGTACTTTAGACTTTTGGATTGGTGCTAGAACAAGTTAAGAGTTTGGGGACTATTGGGATGGCATGAATGTATTTTGCAAGTGAGAAGGACATAAATTTTTGGGAGCCAGTGGTAGAATGCTATGGTTTGAATGTATGTGTCCCTCTAAAACTCATGTGTTGGAACCTAATACCCAATATGATAGTATTAAGAAGTGGGGCCTCTTGGAAAGTGATTAAGTTATGAGGGTCCTACTCTCGTGAATGGGATTAATGTCCTTATAAAAGAGGCTTCAGAGAGTTGCCTGGCCCTTTTTTCCTTCTGCCACATGAAGACACAGTGTTTGTCCCCTCTGGGGGCTGCAACAACAAGGTGTCATCTTGGAAAAGAGACTGGGACCTCACCAGACACTGAAACTGCTGGCACTTTGATCTTGGACTCCAGCCTCCAGAACTTGAAAAATAAATTTCTGTTCTTTATAAATTACCCAGTCTCAGGTATTTTGTTACAGAAGCAGGAACAGACTAAGTATTTATATCTTATTGCATTAACTGAATATTTTGAGATTCTTCCAAGTTATGTTTAGCTATAGTTAATTCATTTTCATAGATTTTCATTTTGTGAATGTATCCCAATTTTCCCATTCTAGTGAAAGAAATTACATTTTTCTAGAAATTTGTAAATTTCATCTAAATTTTCAAATTTACTGGCATAAAGTTTGTAATTTCGTTTTATTTCCTGTAGAATCCATAGTGAAGGCCCATTTTTCTTTTTATTGGTTATCTGGGCTTTTTCTTTTTTTTTTTTTCTTTTTTTTAAAAGATGACCGGTAAGGGGATCTTAACCCTTGACTTGGTGTTGTCAGCACCACGCTCAGCCAGTGAGCGAACCGGCCATCCCTATGTGGGATCCGAACCCGGGGCCTTGGTGTTATTAGCACTGCACTCTACCGAGTGAGCCACGGGCCGGCCCCTATCTGGGCTTTTTCTAGTCCCTCCTACCCTTTTTCTTGGTCAGTCTCAACAGTGGCTTATCAAGTCTAACAATCTTTTGAAGAATAAAACTTTGGCTTTATTGCTTTCTATTTCCCCTCTACTTTTAGGTTTATTTTACTTTATTTTTCCTATTAATCCCCATCCTCTCTTTTCTACTATATGCATATAAGCCTGTAGTTTTCCTCTAAGTATTGATATATATACATATATACATACATATATATATATATATATATATATGTATATATATGTATATATATATATATCACAAGCTTTGGTATATATTTTCATTATCAATCAGTTCAAAATATCTTCTTTTTTAAAAAAAAAAAGATGACCAGTAAGGGGATCTTAACCCTTGACTTGGTGTGTCAGCACCACACTCTCCCAAGTGAGCTAACCAGCCATCCCTATATAGGGATCCGAACCTGTGGCCTTGATGTTATCAGCACCACACTCTCCCAAGTGAGCCATGGGCTGGCCCCTCAAAATATCTTCTAACCTTCTTTGTGATCTTTTCCTTTGAGTCATTGGGGTTGGTTAGAAACGTATGTCATAATTTCCAAACATTTTCTTATTGTCTTGTTACTGATTTCTATCATGAATGACATTGTGGCTGGAGAACATACATAATATGATTTCAGTCATTTGAAACTCATTGACTTGTTTTGTGCTATATGGTCAGTTTTGCTAAATGTTCTGTGTGTGAGGATACTTCAAAAAGTTCATGGAAAGTTTCATATTATCTTTTTTTTTTTTTTGTCTTTTTTCCGTGTCCGGCAACGGATCGCAACCCTCAGTGTCGCCCCCGTACCGGACCGGGGACCGGCAACGGGATCGCAACCCTCGGTGTTGCTCCCGCGCCTCGCTCAGCCAGTGAGCGGGAACCGGTCCGTATGTGGGATCCGAACCCTCGGACGGGAGTGCCGCCGCGCTTCCCAAGCGGTGCACTATCCAGTGCGCCACCGGGCCGGCCCTCATATTATCTTTTAATTCTATTTTTCCACAAATTTTTGAAGTATACTTGTATATTTGAAAATAACGTATGTTGTTCAGTTGTTAATTTCTTAATGGCTGAAGTTATTAACTTATTGAAGTTATTGAAAACTTCTATTTCTTCATTGATTATGTGGTCTATTCTGTGAATTTATGAGAGTTAGATTAATATATATCTGTGATTGTGGATTTGTAATCGTTTCTTCAAATATTTCTCCTACTTTATTATCTCAGTTTTTTCCTTCTGGGACTCAAATTACGTATATGTTGAATTTTTTCTTTGTATCCTTTAAGTCTCTTAGGTTCTTTTCTGTATTTTTAATATTTTTTACTCTCTTTATTGTATTCTGGTTAGTTTGTTAAAATCTCTCTCACAGACTAAGCTTTTTATTCATCTATGCCTAATGCATTAAACCCATCCATTGAGTTCTCAATTTCATTTACTTTATTTTTATTTTTAGAATTTCTACTTGGATATTTTACAAACCTGATGTGTCACTTTTTATAATTTCCAGCTGAGATTTTCCATCTTGGCTTTTATTTATTTTAGTATTATGAGCATAGATTTTATTTATTTATTTATTTATGTATTTTTGGATTCCCTTTATTTATTTAACTTGTATTATCTTTTTTTAGTTTATCAGTATACAATGTAGTATAGTTTTAGTTTATCAGTATTACAATGTAGTTGATTTTCATGTCCCTTTACCAATTCTTTTTTTTTTTTTTTTTTTTTAACCAGTAAGGGGATCACAACCCTTGGCTTGTGACACTGCGCTCAGCCAGTGAGCGCACCAGCCATCCCTATATAGGATCCGAACCTGCGGCCTCCGCGAGCACTGCTGCGCTCCCAGCGCTGCACTCAGCCGAGTGAGCCACAGGGTCGGCCCTCCCTTTACCAATTCTTCCTTTTCCTCCCTCCCTCTACCCCCTCTCTCCCCATCAACATCATATCTGTTCACTTGTCTTAACAAGTTCAAGGAATTGTGATCGTTGTGTCTTCTTCGCCCCCCTCCCCCAGTTCATTTGCTTACTTATTTATTTTTATTAGCTCCCACAAATAAGTGAGAACATGCAGTATTTTTCTGTGCCCAGCTTATTTCACTTAATATAATTTTCTCTAAGTCCATCCATGCTGCTGCAAATGGTAGTATTTCATTTTTTTTTTTTAACAGCAGAGTAGTATTCCATTGTGTAGATATACCACATTTTCCTTATGCACTCATCTGATGATGGGCAATTGGGCTGGTTCCAACTCTTGGCTATTGTAAATAGTGCTACAATAAACATGGGAGTACAGGTATCCCTTCGACATGATGATTTCCATTCCTCTGGGTATATACCCATCAGTGGAATAGCTGGGTCGTATGGTAGATCTATCTGTAATTGTTTGAGGAAACTCCATGCCATTTTCCATAAAGGCTGCACCATTTTGCAGTCCCACCAACAGTGTACAAGGGTTCGTTTTTCTCCACATCCTCACCAGCATTTTATCATTTTCAGTCTTTTGGATATTAGTCATACTAACTGGAGTGAGATGGTATCTCACTGTGGTTTTGATTTGCATTTCCCAAACGCTGAGTGATGTTGAGCCTTTTTCATGTGTCTGTTGGCCATTCGTGTATCTTCCTTTGAGAAATGCCTATTCAGATAAGCATAGATTTAAAAAAAAAAAATCAGTTGTTTTGATAATTCCACTATTACATGTCTTTTGGGGTCTGTTTCTATTGTCTGTCTCTTTTGAGTTTTGTTTTCCTTGTGTGCCAAGTTATTTTTGACTATGTGCTGGACAGATTTGCCTAGATAAGCAAATGTCCTTAATATCCCAATTACCTCTATGAGTTTTTGTTTTCACTTAGGTTTTACATTAGTCTGGTAATTCCTATTTTCTTATGAGCTTTTTAATGCTTAAATTTTTTTAAATAATGTTTTTCCGGGCCGGCCCCATGCCGCAATCGGGAGAGTGTGGCGCTGGGAGCGCAGCGACGCTCCCGCCGCGGGTTCGGATCCTATATAGGAGTGGCCGGTGCGCTCACTGGCTGAGCGTGATGCAGGCAACACCGCACCAAGGGTTGTGATCACCTTACCCATCACGAAAAAGACCAAAATAAATATTAAATAAATAAAATAATGTTTTTCCAGCATTTTAGTTCATTTTCAACAGGTGGGTTGGTTCTTGCTGTATTCTTGCAAATAGAAGTCCTGGTTTATTTTCATTTGTTTTAAACATTTTATCCCATACTCTTCCCCACCTTCCCTCACCCAGAATCTAGACTGTTGATTCCCAAATGCAGGGCCGGTGTCTTAATCACCGTTTTATCTTAGTGCCTGCCTGGCAAATGACTGGTCTTAGAAAATATGCAAATAAATTTATGTTTGACAGGTAACTGATAAGGCAGGTGGATAGGAAGATGGGTAAGTAGTTGGAAAAGACTACTGATTTTCTCCCCACAGTTTTTCTTTTAGTAAGAGAAAACTGTCCCAATACTGGCAAATAAAATCTCTCTGCCCAAAGTGCCCAGAGTATAGCAGAACATCTTACCCTGACACCCTTCTTTTTCTTCCCATCTCTGTGGAGACAGAAGGAGCTTCAAGAGCGGGGGGAGATCAGAATCATCCAGCTGGGCTTCGACTTGGATGCCCATGGAATTATCTTCACTGAGGATTATAGGACCAGAGTATGTGTGACTATGTGTGTGTGTCATGGAGGGCGGCAGAGAGGGGGTGGTGGTGCAGGGGGAGCAGGGAAATTGGGGAATGGAAATAAAAACAAGAGAGACAGTTTTTGTACCCCACATCTCGTGAAGAGGGCACAGGGCTCTGGTAAGTAGTAATATGAGGGAGAGAGAGAGGAGGAGGAGGAGGAAGGGAATAAGAGGTGGAAGGACCTGAACAAGAGAGAAAACAGGATGAGAAAGGCTGTCCTGGGGATAGGGTTGCTGGAGGGTGAGGATGGGGCCAGACCACATCTCTCATTTCTGGTTCCAGGTCCTCAAAGCCTGTGATGGCCGACCATATGCTGGGGCAGTGCAGAAGTTTCTGACTTCGGTGCTTCCAGCCTGTGGGGACCTTAGTTTTCAGCAGGACCAAATGACACAGACTTTTGGCTTCAGGGACCCAGAGATCACGTGAGGCTTGTGGGACAGAGTCCGGCATCTGGCACCTCTCTGCCTCCCTCCTGTCCCTCCAGTCCCTCCTGTTCCATCCAGCCTTGTTCTTTGCCTTCTGCTGAACCTGCCAGAACAGGCAGACTCTTCATTTTTCTTTTTTCTTTATTTGTAATTATACATATTATAGGGTACAGTGTGTTGTTTCAGTGCATGCGTACATTGTATCATGATCAACTCAGGGTGGATAGCATATCCATCACCTAAGCATTTATTATTTGTTTTTGGTGATTACATTCAAGATCCTCCTTTCTAGCTATTTAGAAATATACAGTGCAATATTGTTAGCTATTTCCTCTTCTCTTTAATGAAATTACCTAAGTTTGTACTTCTCACTGCAAGAGAGGAGTCCTGTCTTATCTGAGGTCTTTGGAAAGAGTCCTGGACTGGAATTCAGGATATCTGGATGGCTTATCAAATGGATATAGGAGCCTGGCAGGAACCATGAATGCCTGATATTAATCATGTTGGGACTAAGTGGACAGAGAATACTGAGAGCTGGGATACCCCTAAACATTCACATTAAAAAAAAAAAAAAAAAAAAAAAAAAGACAAACCCAAAGAGCAAAAACAAAAAACACACAACTGGGCAAGGGCTAAATAAAAATGTAATTTTGGGGGGCTGTGTCTGGCTCAGGACTTTTAGTGTGTAACCCATGTTATATGTGAAAGCATTTAAAAAAGTACTGATATCACGTGGGGAAACAGACTTTTCAGTGAGATGGGTGAGGAGCCATGGTGAGGTGAGCCCTGCAGTGGCAGGAGCATGGAAGATGACCCTTGGGGGCAGGACTGAGTGTGTGTTAGGCCACGTGGTCAGGGAGGGCTTCTGAGAGGATAAACTGTTTTAAAGAACGAGTAATAGTAATAGGAAAAGAAAGAGTGGAGGGAAGGTAGTCCAGGTAGGGGGACAGGAAAAAGCAAGGGCATGAGACAACAGACAGCATGTTGTGAGCAGAGAACTGCCCCAGGGTGGGTTTCATTATCCAGTCTCTTGCATAGTTGCCCATGTTTCATATGCCTATTAACGGATGGGGGGGATGGATGGTTCTCAGAGCCCAGGCCTCATCTCTCCTGGCTTCCCACTGCCCTCAGTCATCTGGTGAATGCTGGAGTCCTCACTGTACGAGATGCTGGGAGCTGGTGGCTAGCTGTGCCTGGAGCTGGGAGATTCATCAAGTACTTTGTTAAAGGTATCCCATTCACAGCCCAAGCCCTCAGCCCCTCAGGAACACCTTTTGGTGCTTCCTCAGGCCTCTAGGCCTATTCACCTTTCCCCTCTCCTGTGCCACCTCTCCTCTAGGGCGCCAGGTTGTCCTTGGCATGGTCCGGAAAGCCAAGTACAGGGAGTTGCTCCTGTCGGAGCTCCTGGGTCGGCGGGCACCTGCCACAGTGCGGCTTGGCCTTGCCTACCATGTGCATGACCTCATTGGGGCCCAGCTGGTGGACTGGTGAGTCTGACCTCTGGCAGATGACAGAGCAATAGCCCAAGGATGGATTTCCTCCTGGCTCATGCTTATTAATTCACTGTAGTGAAGTCCAGTCCCTTCATTCTTCTCTGGAACCCGGGAACACCCCTTGCCAAGTTCTGAGTTCTCCTCGCAACTTGGACCTTGGCATCTGGCTCTAACTTTGTGTTTCTCCTGTACAGCATCTCCACTTCTTCTGGAACCCTCCTCCGCCTGCCAGAGACATGAGGATTCTGCTTGTCATCGCACACCTCCCCAGAGCAGGGCAAGAGGCGCCTGGGAGTGCTTCCTGACAGTGTTGAGATGGGGGCACCTTGGGAAGGCTTGGGAGCCAGGACGAGCGTTGGGCTCTCATCCATGCAAAGGGTCAGATGTGAAAGCTGCTGTTTACCTGGGCTCTGACCCAGTGGTGGGGTTTGGGCAATGTTTCTCTGCCCTTCCATGGAAGTCGAACCAGAAACTGTGCCAAGGCCATGGCTGCTACCTTTCATGTCAGATGGTGCTGTTGTTATTCTGTCTTGGGATAGAAAGGTAGGATTTCTGGGGAGGCTGGTGAAGGAGGGCAGGGTTTTCTTCCCTATATGTTGGGCTGAAATTGCCAAATAAAGTACTTTTGCCTGTGATATTTTCTGGATGTCCTTTGTTTGATGTGATGTGTGTGTTCGGGTGCCTTGTTTGGGGATAGAGGTCAAGCCAAACATAGGCCTGAGCTCAAGCCAAATGTAGGCCTGAGCTTTGACTTGTTTGGAGAGGAAAAAGGTTAACTTTGATGTTCAGATCAGTTCTCCCTGTGGGGTGGTAAGGGTGCACCTCATCTCCTAAAGCAGAGTTTCTGTTAGGGCCTACAAAAAGCTAAAGCCTAGTGTAGTTAAGTTTGTGTTGGAGTGAAAGTAAGAGACAAGTGTCTTAGAAGCCCATCCTTGTTTTGTTAGGACCTTTAAATATCCTGTACATCTGGGCCATGTTGGGCCCTTACACACACACACACACAGATATACCCAGTAGGGGGAGATGCCTAGGCACTGGGATGACAGGAGTTAACCAGGAAGGACAGGATTGATCTCTGGGACAAGATTCACTCGAATTCCCTCAGAAACTCAGGGGTCCAGGGTGTCTCCTCAACTCTGGGCCTGGGGCCAGTTGCAGTTCTTGGTTGTCACGTGGTTTCCTGGCTTAGCTGGGTTAGGGGAGGAGCAAGGCTCAGAGTCAACTGCCCCAAGCCCTAGGTTGTTCAGAAGGGAGCAGACAGCAGACGGATCTGACCCCTCTTGGGTCCTGTAGCCATGAGGCTCCTCTGGGGGCTGATCTGGGTGTCTAGCTTCTTTGCCTTGTCTCTGCAGAAGCCCAGGTCCTGGAGGCGGGAGCTGGGTGCTTGGCTGGGGGAAGGGCTGGCAATGGGACCTGATTCAGGAGTGAGAGAGAACTGGGGTGGAGGGGTTGAGCAAAATCTGACTGCTGACCCTCACTTCTCAGGTTGCTCCTGTTCTCTCCTTCTGTGGTTCACCTGGGGGTCCCCCTATCGGTGGGGGTGCAGCTCCAGGATGCTCCCCCAGGACAGGTGGTGAAAGGATCAGTGTTCCTGAGAAACCCATCTGGTAATAATGCCCCCTGCTCCCCAAAGGTGGACTTCACCCTCAGTTCAGAGAAAGACTTTGTACTCCTCAGTCTCCAGGTAACTGGACCCCACATCCTTCTGCTGCTTCTGGGAGCCTCTGCCCTTCCGCTCTGTCTTGTAAATGTCCTCATCTTCCTCACTGGCCTCCTCCCCTCCTCTCTTCCCACCCCAGTGGTCCACTTCTGTCTCATTGTCCTTTTCCCTCTGCTCAGTCTGTCTCAGACCCACCCCACTCCATCTCCTGACAGGTCTCCCTGAAAGATGCAGACAGCTGTGGCCTCCATCGCCTCCTTGGAGGCCGTGGGGTCCAGCTGGTGGCACAGTCACCATGGCTGAAGGACTCTCTGTCCAGAATGACAGACAGTCAGGGTGTCAACCTGCTCTTCTCCACTCGCCGAGGGCACCTCTTTCTGCAGACTGACCAGCCTATTTACAATCCTGGGCAGCGTGGTGAGTCTCTGCCTCAGGGCCTCTACATTTAACTCCCTCCCAGCCAATTCAGGACACGTTTGGTGCCTGAAAGAAAGCTCCAGACAGGAGGATTGCTTAGCAAATATTTGTCCCCCCCCCACTCCCTGGAATTGGGCCCACCTTCCCTTTGCACATGGTCTCCTGTTCACCTCTCTTTTCCTCCTCTCCCAGTTCGGTACCGGGTATTTGCTCTGGATCAAAAGATGCGCCCATGCACTGATGTCCTCACGGTCACAGTGGAGGTGAGTCCCTGACCTCTGGCTTTCCAGACCCTGGCCACTGATGTGACCTCCCACCTGTGACCACTTCTACTCCCCTTGCAGAACTCTCATGGCTTCCGTGTGCGGAAGAGGGAGGTGTACACTTTGTCCATCTTCCAGGATGACTTTGTGATCCCAGACATCTCAGAGTGAGCTCCCCCTACTGGGGGTTGCCCCCAGCTACACAACCCCAATTCCCATTTTCCCTTCAGCTCTCTACATCCAACACTCAGAGTCACATCCTGAGATGCCCTGACCCTCTGCCTCCTGAGCCTCTGGATGACCCCACAGTCCTCTTTCCAGGGAACCAGGATCTGCTGGCCCCCTGGCCCTCCTACACAGATGGGCTGAATCCCTTCCTTGTCTGTCTTCAGGCCAGGGACCTGGAAAATCTCAGCCCGATTCTCAGACAGCTTGGAATCCAACAGCAGCACCCAGTTTGAAGTGAAGAAATATGGTGAGAGCTGGAGACATGAGGGACAGGCAGCTCCTTTCCTGAAGAAAAGAAGGGGAAGGGGATAGGAGAGATGGGAGGGGAAGGTCTGGGCCAGGGAGATATGGGGCCACAGCCCTGAGGGAAGGGGAGTCTTTGAAGGGCCCTTTCACTAGAGTCTGACCTACCTACCCCATCCCCTGGGTCAGTCCTTCCCAACTTTGAGGTGAAGATCACCCCTGGAAAGCCATACATCCTGACAGCACTCGGCTATCTTGGTGAAATCCAATTAGACATCCAGGCCAGGTAATGCCTCCTGCCCCTGCTGGGTCCTACTTCTAGGCTTCCCACTCTGTGAATGGGCTGTGGAGCCCTGCTTCCCCTGCTCCCAGATCATGATTTCCCCAGCCTGTGGCCACCCTCTTCCCAATCTCCCCGTGGCGACAGGTACATCTATGGGAAGCCAGTGCAGGGGGTGGCGTATGTGCGCTTTGGGCTCCTGGGTGAGGATGGTGAGAAGACTTTCCTTCGGGGCCTGGAGAGTCAGTCCAAGGTAGGAAGGAGGATGGGGTGTGGGGAGAGGCGAAGAAGGTGAGGAGGGAGACTCCAGTCTCACCCCATGTCCTGCTTTCCTCTCTACCTCAGCTGGTGGATGGCCAGTGCCACATTTCCCTCTCAAAAGCTGAGTTCCAGAGTGCTCTGGAGAAGCTTAATATTAGTATGGCTGACCTCCCAGGGCTGCGTCTCTATGTTGCAGCAGCCATCATTGAGTCTCCAGGTGAGCAACTTTCCCTTGCTATACCCCCAGACCCTTGCCTCTGACCCCTGAGCTGACCCTCTGTTTTCCACACCATCACCACTCCTGACTTCTTCCACCAAAAGCCAGGAAAGACCCAGGAGACCTTGCCTCTCTCAAATTCTGCCTCTGGGTAGTTCTGCCCCTTTCCTTTGTCTCAGTTTATTTATTTTTTGCACATTCATTCACTCATTCAGCAGGCATACTTGTATGTTACACACTGTGTGTCAGGGCCTATGTTGGATTTCTGAGAACCCAGAGATCAATATGGGATGGCCTGTGCCCTGAGGAGCTCACTGTCTAATGGGAGGGAACACTTGAGCCTCTCCCCCGTCACACTCCTGTCCCTCTCTTCCCAGGACTCTGTCCTCCACCTCTCTCTTTCCTTTGTTTTGCAGGCGGGGAGATGGAGGAGGCGGAGCTCACATCCTGGCGTTTTGTGTCATCTCCCTTCTCCCTGGATCTTAGCAACACCAAGAGATATCTCGTGCCTGGGGCTCCCTTTCTGCTGCAGGTTTCTTCTGAAGGGGGAAGATGGGTGGGGGAGGGGGTGTAGGTCAGGAGGGCACAGGTCTCACTGATCGCTCTCTTTTACCTACCCATCCCCCATCCACCTAGGCCTTGGTCCGAGAAATGTCTGGTTCCCCAGCCCCTGGTATTCCTGTCAAAGTTTCTGCCGAGTTTTCTTCTCCTGGGTCTGCTTCTAAAATTTGGGAATTTCAACAAAACACAGATGGGAGCGGCCAAGTCAGCATTCCCATTGTTATCCCTCAGACCACTCCTGAACTGCAGCTCTTGGTAGGACTCCTCCGACCCATGGGAGATGGTGGGGGAGGAAGAGGTTCCCAAGGATCCACGGCCCAGCTTGGGAGGAGGAGTGAGGTACCTGGGTCCTTACAACTGACCTACCCTGACCTGCCCCTCTCTCTAGGTGTCTGCAGGCTCCCTCTACCCAGCCACAGCCAGGCTCACCGTGAGAACTCCTTCTTCAGGAGGCTCCGGGTTTCTATCTATTGAGCGGCTGGATCCTCGACCCCCTCGTGTTGGGGACACTCTCAACCTGAACCTGCAAGCTGTGGGCATCAGTGGGACCACCTTCTCTCATTACTACTACATGGTGGGCAGGAGCTGGGGAGCGGAGGAAGGCAGGGTGCAGGGATGAGCCCTCTGGGTGGGGCTGGGGTGGTTTCAGGCTGGCATGTACAATGAGGAGGAAACTTTTCTTGCCGCTCCTCTTCTTGGCCCAGATCCTATCCCGGGGTGAGATTGTGTCTATGAATCGAGAGCCCAGGAGGAGTGTGACCTCAGTCTCCCTGTTTGTTGATCATCGCCTGGTACCCTCCTTCTACTTTGTGGCCTTCTACTATCATAATGGCTTCCCAGTGGCCAACTCCCTACGAGTGGATGTCCAGGCTGGGGCCTGCGAGGGCAAGGTAACTGGGGCTGGAAGAGATGGCGAGTGTGTTAGGGGGGTTAAGAGAGAAAGAGGACGGGTGATTGCCAACAGGGCATGGATTTAGTGGGGAGTGCACCAAGGATGCATCGGCCTGAAAGAAGCCCTCCCCACTCTGACTGCCACCCCCTACTCCACCTCTGCCAGCTGGAGCTGAATGTGGACAGTGCCAAGGAGTACCGTAATGGGGAGTCTGTAAAGCTCCACCTGCAGACAGATTCTCCATCCCTGGTGGCGCTGGGAGCTGTGGACACGGCTCTGTATGCTGTGGGCAGCAAGTCCCACAAACCCCTTGACATGGGCAAGGTTTGTGCAGACCCTCTCCTCAGCATCTCCCACCCACCATGGCTCAGTGTCCTGCTGCCCTGAGCCCTGAACCCAGCCCGTGAATCTCCCCAAGTCTCCTGCAGACTTCCCAGTCTCTGTCCACTTCTTCTTTTGGCCCCTGAAGTCTCTATTTCCCCACTCTCTGTCTCTCTTTCATGTTTGTCCACACTCTGCCCTCACCCAAAGCTGAGTGCCTGATCCTGCCCCTCAGCCACTCTTGTCTCCCAGCATCTCTGCCTTTTCTTGCCAGGTCTTAGAAGTTATGAACAGCTATGACCTTGGCTGTGGTCCTGGGGGTGGGGACAGTGCCCTTCAAGTGTTCGATGTGGCGGGTCTGGCCTTTTCTGATGGAGACCAATCAACCTCGATCAGAAAGAGTGAGAACAGAGGAGGAAAGGGAGGGGGTGGTGGGAAGATCAGGAAGGAGGAGGGGCCTGAGGGGGCATGGTAGGAAGAACAGGGACAGGAAGGGCAGGGCGTTGGGGAGGGAGGGAGAGGGAGCAGGTGGGAGGCCACACACCCTGTGGCTTGACTGCAGTCTCACCTCCTACCAGGTCTGAGCTGTCCTGAGAAGAAAACCCGGAAAAAGAGAAATGTGAACTTCCAAAAGGCAATTAGTGAGAAGTGTGAGTTGTAGGGTCTGCCTCTCTGTCCCTCTGCTCCTCAGTGAATCAGTACGTGGTATTTGGGGCCAGAGATCAAATTCTGGAGTTAAAGGTGGCTTGGGTGGGTGGCTCTGTCTTACAATGCTGGTCTGTCAAGGAGAGTCCTGTGGATCTGGGAGTCACGGTGGGGGCTGAGGCGTGTCTCCTTTTTGCTCCCTATGCTTACCCTCACCTGGTCCTGCAGTGGGCCAGTATGCATCCCTGGCAGCCAAGCGCTGCTGCCAGGATGGGTTGACGCGGCTGCCCATGGTCCGCTCCTGTGAGCAGCGGGCTGCTCGCGTGCAGCAACCAGACTGCCGGGAACCCTTCTTGTCCTGCTGCCAGTTTGCTGAGAGCCTGCGCAAGAAGAACAGGACCAGGGGCCAGGGGGGCCTCGCCCGAGGTGAGGGACTGGGTGGGGCTGGGGAACAAGCAGTGGTGCCTGGGAGGGCAGAAGGGCCCCTTCCTCACTCCTGTCCACTGTGGTCCCCCAGCCCTGGAGATATTGCAGGAGGAAGACCTGATTGATGAAGATGACATTCCTGTGCGCAGCTTCTTCCCAGAGAACTGGCTCTGGAGATTGGAAGCAGTGGACCATTCTCGAATGTGAGGGCAGGGGTGGGTCTAGCCTTGTCTCTGGGCTGTGTCTTGTGCCAGCCTGGGGTGTGACGGAGCTTCTCTACCTTTCCTGCCACAGATTGACACTGTGGCTCCCTGATTCTCTGACCACGTGGGAGATCCATGGTGTGAGCCTGTCCAAAAGCAAAGGTGAGGTCTCCTTGCCTCGGCCTCAGGCTGTTCTGCTTCCATTTCCCATTGACCCAGGCTCCCTACTTAGCCCTTTGTTCTTAGTGTAGGAAGGGGGTTTAGAGATTTGGTGAAGTCTGTACTGGCATGCACCTGGCTTGGGCTAGAAAGCAGGGGCAAGCTGAGGGCAGAGCGGGGTCACTCCCTGCCCTCCCTCCTGTGGCCCTGAGGCCTTGATACCTGCAGGCCTCTGACCTCTGGCCCCTGCCCCCATGCTACCCCATCCATCAGGAATGTGTGTGGCCACACCTGTCCGGCTCCGAGTGTTCCGCCAGTTCCACCTGCACCTCCGCCTGCCCATCTCTGTCCGCCGCTTTGAGCAGCTCGAGTTGCGGCCTGTCCTCTACAACTACCTGGATAAAAACCTGACTGTGAGGCCTCTTGGGAGCCTGAGCACATGGGGGTGGGGGATGTGAAGGGTGGGGAGACTAACTGGGCTGGAGCTCAGGCCATCCCCCTTTTCCTGCCCCCAGGTGAGCGTCCACGTGTCCCCGGTGGAGGGGCTATGCCTGGCTGGGGGCGGAGGGTTGGCCCAGCAGGTCCTGGTGCCTGCGGGCTCTGCCCGGCCTGTTGCCTTCTCTGTGGTGCCCATGGCAGCTGCTGCTGTGTCCCTGAAGGTGGTGGCTCGAGGATCCTTGGAATTCCCTGTGGGGGATGCAGTGTCTAAGGTTCTGCAAATAGAGGTGAATGGAGCACCCCTACATCTAGGTCCCTGGCCTCCCAAATTTATCCCTACCCTCAGCACCCTGCTGGCCAGGCCAGGGGCCCAGCAACCAAGCCCAGTACTTTGGTTTATTTCCATCTTCTGCAATTCTGATCCATCTCTGTCCCTGAAGATTAAATTCAAAGTCCTGGGGAGTCTGCACTGGGATGGGCAGGCCATAGTGCCAGTGATCTCTGACAGCCATGTTTCCCCCGAGACAGAAGGAAGGGGCCATCTATATGGAGGAGATGGTCTACGAACTCAACCCTCTGGGTGAGTGAACCTCTGGCCGAGCCATCGGTTTCCTTAGGGGGTTGTGGTGTGGGGGATGTGGACAGCAGGACAGACTGCCAACCACCCCATCTCCCCAGACCGCCAAGCCCGGTCCTTGGAAATTCCTGGCAACTCTGATCCCAATATTGTCCCCGATGGAGATTTCAGCAGCTTTGTCAGGGTTACAGGTGGGAGTGTCCTCCGATCCCTTCCCAGTGGCCACCCTTGGATTCATGTGAAACCCGTGGGTCTCTGTTTGATCCCATATCCCCATGACCCTCTGACTCTGGGTCCTCAGACCTTCTCTCTGATCCTCAACCCTCTCCCTGCTGTGTAGCCTCAGATCCATTGGAAACTTTGGGCTCTGAGGGGGCCTTGTCACCAGGAGGTGTGGCCTCCCTCCTGAGGCTTCCCCAGGGCTGTGGGGAACAAACCATGGTCCTCTTGGCTCCTACACTGGCTGCTTCCCGCTACCTGGACAAGACAGAGCAGTGGAGCACACTGCCTCCCGAGACCAAGGACCGTGCTGTGGATCTGATCCAGAAAGGTTCTGGGTGCAGGCACAAGCAGGCGTGGGGGCCGGGGGGGGGGCAGCTAATGGGAGATGGGCAGCCCTGGAGGATAGAGAGGGGAAGAAAAGGGATCCCCAGTGGGAATGGGGAGCATGGCCTTGGGCACACACTCTGCAGCGGAAGAGTGGGTGTCACCTCAGCAGCTGCCTCTCCTCTCCAAGGTTACATGCGGATCGAGCAATTTCGGAAGACAGATGGTTCCTATGCAGCTTGGGTACAGCGGGACAGCAGCACCTGGTGAGGTTGGGAGAGTGGTTCCAGGTGTCTGGAGAGGGGTCAGGGCTGGTGGGGGCAGAGCCAATACAATGGGAGGGGAATAAACAGGTGCCTGCGGAAGTGGGGCTGTGTCCCCTGCCCCCAGCCTTCCATCCTGCCCCTCTAGGCTCACTGCCTTTGTGCTGAAGGTTCTGAGTTTGGCCCAGGAGCAGGTGGGCGGCTCACCTGAGAAGCTGCAGCAGACAGCCAGGTGGCTACTTTCCCAGCAGCGGGCTGATGGCTCATTCCAGGACCCCTGTCCAGTTATACACAGGGACATGCAGGTGCGGGCAGGCTGGGAGGCTGGGCTGAGGAGCACTGATGGAAAGACTCTCTCTGCTCCTTCCCCCTCCTGGATGACATCTTTTCTCCCCTCACTAGGGGGGCTTGGTGGGAAATGATGAGACTGTGGCACTCACGGCCTTTGTGGTCATCGCCCTTCATCACGGGCTGGCCATCTTCCAGGACAAGAGTGCAGAGCAGTTGAAGCAGAGAGTGGTGAGGACACCTGCATGTCTGCCCTTCACTGGCCCCTGGCTCTCCACCTTTCTCCTCAGGTGCCCAGGTGTCCAGCCCCCAGACCTTCCTCCCCACTTCATTCTAGGAAACCTCCATCTCAAAGGCAAACTCGTACTTGGGGAAGGAAGCAAGTGCTGGGCTCCGGGGTGCCCATGCAGCCGCCATCACGGCCTATGCCCTGACGCTGACTACGGCCTCCCAGGACCTGCGGGATGTTGCCCACAACAACCTCATGGCCATGGCCCAGAAGACTGGTGGTGAAGGACGGGGGCCCTGGGAGTGAGCCCAGGGTTCAGGGGACCTTGGGATCCCTGAGTGTGCCAGAGTGAGAAATTGAATGAAGACCCTGAGAAGGAATTACAGCATAGGCAGGGATGAATTTGAGGTAGAATTAGGAGAGACTGAGGGGGCATCAAAGGGCCAGGTGACTAGGATCCTACCCCCCTCAACCCCCCGTTCACCTTGGGTCTCCCTTCACTTGCAGATGACCTGTACTGGGGCTCAGTCACCAGCTCTCAGAGCAATGTTGTGTCATCCACCCCGGCTCCTCGCAGCTCAGCAGACCCCATGTCCCCGGCCCCAGCCCTGTGGATTGAAACCACAGCCTATGCCCTGCTACACCTGCTGCTGCGGGAGGGCAAGGCCGAGAGGGCTGACCAGGCTGCAGCCTGGCTCACCCGTCAGGGTGCCTTCAAAGGGGGATTCCGCAGCACCCAGGTAGGGGCTGCCCCAGGGCTCTGGGGGTGGGTGGTCCTGAGACCAAGTGCCTGAGTCCTGGCCCAACCTCCCCAGGACACGGTGATCGCCCTGGACGCCCTGTCTGCATACTGGGTCGCTTCTCACACCACTGAGGAGAGGGGACTCAATGTAACTCTCAGCTCCACAGGCCGCAATGGGTTCAAATCCTATGTGCTGCATCTGAACAACCACCAAATTCGGGGGCTGGAGGAGGAGCTACAGGTGAACCCCTCCCTCACCTGGGTTGCCATGACACTTGGGCCTCTCCTGGCCATCCTACCCTCCCACCTGCAAAAGCCCTGTAGCACCTCTTCCTGAGGTCCTTGTGGGAAGACTTACTGGCCATGTGACCTGGAGAAAGTTGCCCGACCTCTGAGCCTCATTATTGTCAAGTGTGAAGTAATGTGTGCAAAGTCCACCCGCCAGGGCTGTTAGGGCTGAGGGAGATAATGCACATGGAGTAAGCTCTATGGAAACGTGAGGTGGGGAGAGGAGGTGGGTTGTTTTGAGGGAGGAGGTAAGTTGTTGGAGCAACAAACAGGTTTTCCTGTGTCCTCCTGACATCTCTTTCCCTTTTTTGATCCTGAAAGTTTTCTTTGGACAGCAAGATCAGTGTGAAGGTGGGAGGAAACAGCAAAGGAACCTTGAAGGTGAGGGTCAAGGACAGGGCGGGGCCGGCAGAGGAGGGAGGAAATGGGCTGGAGTGGGAGGGTCGGGGAAGGAGGAGGACAGCTCAGGGGTGATGGTCCACTCCCGTGCTAGCGTTCTTTCCCCGCTCTGCTAGTCCCCGTCTCGGGGTACCTGTCCTTTCCCTTACCCCCTCAGTGCTGATGGCTCCACATCCTCAGCCCAGGCCTCTCCCCTGACCCACAGCACCTCAGACATGGCCTGTCCCAAACCGCTTCTTCCTCCTGTGTTCCTTGTCTGGCTGATGGCAGCCGCTCCATCCAGGAGTCCAGCCACCGCTCTGGAGGTTGTCTTGGTGGCCCCTTTCCTGAGCCCCTCCTGGTGGCCCAGTTATTCCTCCTCTGCCCTCCTGCACCCTGTTCCTTGTCATTTGTGTCCTGGATTCTGTGCTAAGATAGTCTTGGAACTTCTCCCTGCCTCCTGTCTCACCCTCTGATCCATTGGCCACATGGCAGTGAGAGGGGCCTTCCAGAAACAGCAGTCAGATTGGCCTTGGAGAAAAGTGAGACTCCCCCACGGCACTGTGGCTCACATGTTGGGCTCCTGCCCACCTCTCCAGCCAAACAGATCCACTCATTACACAGACCTCCCTGCCTTGAGCGTCCTTCCCCTGCTTCTTGTCCCACGAGACAAGAGCCTTCTCCTCTCTCAAGCCTCGGCTGGAAGCCTTTCCTGAGCTTTCCAGCTTCCCCTGTGCACCGTCTCGAGTGCTAGCCCGCGGGGGCAGGTCCTGCTTCTTCACCTCCCCATCTCATCATCTCACCCGACTCCTGTGGTGGATCCGGTGCCCACACATATGTATGGACTGTTCAGTGAGGGGGACGAGAAGGGGCTGAAGGCCTTAAATCCCTTAGCCCAGGGGGGTTCCCTCAGCTATGGCCCTGGAGAGAGGTCTGTGGCCCCAAATGTCCTGTGTCCTCTCCCTGCCTCTTGCTGAGCCAGGTCCTTCGTACCTACAATGTCCTGGACATGAAGAATACAACCTGCCAGGACCTTCAGATTGAAGTGACAGTCATGGGCCACGTTGACTACACGAGTAAGTGTCAGGTGGGGAGGCTTTGGGGCCTGGAGGGGCAGTGTGTGGGCGGGGGGTGAGTGGCCACCTAGCCCCTGCTAACAATGTTTCCCTGAACAGTGGAAGCAAATGAAGACTATGAGGACTACTATGAGGACTTTCCAGCCAGGGATGACCCAGGTGCCCTTTCGCAGCCTGTGACGCCCCTGCAGCTGTTTGAGGGACGGAGGAACCGCCGCAGGAGAGAGGCGCCTAAGGTGGCGGAGGAACAGGAATCCAGAGTGCAGTACACCGTGTGCATCTGGTGGGCTGGGACCTGCACCGGGCGTGTTGTGGGCAGTTGCTGGGCCAGGGGAGGGAGGGCAGTGCCAAGGCTGGGGCTGGATGACAGGTCCCATCTCTCTACAGGCAGAATGGCAAGGTGGGGCTGTCTGGCATGGCCATCGCGGACATCACCCTCCTGAGTGGGTTCCATGCCCTGCAGACCGACCTGGAGAAGGTGCTCAGCTGCTCAGAGCCCTTCCTCTGCCCGGGGAACCCTGCCCCGTCCCTGCAGCACCTCTGGTGCTGAGCCCTGTCATGGGCAGGGCCCAGGACCACCAACCATGACTGCCTCCCCTTCCCCACAGCTGACCACCCTCTCTGACCGTTACGTGAGTCACTTTGAGACCCAGGGACCCCATGTCCTGCTATACTTCGACTCGGTGAGTGGGGAGAGGTAACACAGGAAGGGAGTTGATGGCACCAGGTTTGCTATGTGTTATGAAGGGTCTCAGCTTTGTCAGCAGCCAGTGCTCTTGAGAACTTGTGACATAATCAGGGGGACAGAACAAGGGTGAGCCACATGAGTCACAACAGAGTTAGGTGCAGACCTCCAGGGGGCTGCTGCCTACAGGGACCAGTGCCAGTCAGCAGGAGGAGACCCTACGGGCTTGAGAGTGAGCCTTTTGTAAAGCTGATTTTATTCAACTTGAGGGGTTGACTTTGTTTTTTTATTGAACTTCCTAGGTTTTAAAAAAAATTTTTTTTTTCTCTTTTTGTCTTTTTTTGTGACCGGCAACGGATTGCAACCCTCAGTGTCGCGCCCGTACCGGACCGGGACCGGCAACGGGATCGCAACCCTCGGTGTTGCTCCCGCACCTCGCTCAGCCAG